AGCGCTCGAGGAGCCGGAACCCGGCCACCGGGCGCACTGAGGGAGGGCCAGCACGCTTGGCTCCCGAGAGCGCGGGCGATCGGTGCGACGGTGCGAGGCAGTGTGGGTGCGAGGGGGCAGGAGGCGGGAGCAGGGGCCGGAGCCCGCAGGGGAGGCCGCGGGGGCCCGCTCTCCGCCTGCCCCTCAGGAGTAATTTACATGCTGTCACAGCCCCGCGCTGACTCCAGGGCATGCAGCTCGCTCGGGCGCTCACTAGTGCTCAGCTCCTGCCACCTCTCAGCCGGCACAGCCCAGGGGAGCCCGAGAGCGGGAGAGCTAGCGAGCCGCCTAAAGAGGGAGACAGGAAGGAGGGAGCAAGGGTGCCCTACTGCCAGCTCTTCCAGCCGCCACAGGTCCGCCCGAGCCCCGCTCACACTTGGGAAACTTGGGACTCGCTGGGGGCGCATGGGGCACCTCTAGGGGAAAGCCCCAGCCTCTAAGGAGCGGGAGGAGGAGGAGGAAGAGAAGGAAGTGAGCCCGAAGGATCCTCTCGGAGCTGTTTATCCAGCTATCTCTATTCGCACCCGGGGCAGCCCAGCCAGAAGGGGGCAGAGCAGAGGGTGGCCGACTTAGGCGCTAATTGCCAACTCTTCTCCTCACAGCTTGTCTTTACCAGGCACCCTGGAGTCCCATCAGGCCAACAACACACAGGGCACGCACCTGCCAGTCGCCCCTGACTTCACAGACCAGGAGACCTCTGAGCCCAAGGAGATGGCCCAGTCCAAGACCGACTGCCGCTCACCTGTTGGCCTCGAAAGTTGCAACTGCTGCCTGGACCTGGCCCACCAGAGCAGACTCCAGCCAGGGAGCAGTGGGGATAACAACAACTCCCGTAGCCCCACGGTGAGCAACTTTCGGCAGTTGCAGGAGAAGCTGGTCTTTGAGAACCTCAACACTGAGAAGCTCAACAGCATAATGCGGCAGGATTCCCTGGAGCCAGTGCTGCGGGACCCCTGCTACCTGCTCAAGGAGGGCATCTGCAACCGCAACATTGACCAGACCATGCTCTCCATTCTGCTCTTCTTCCACAGGTGGGTGGCTGGGCACATGGGTGGGCACGCGGTGGCCACTTGGGCCAGCGTCTTCTGGACCCACACCTCTGACAAAAGGGGCAACCAGGAAGTTGACGAAGGGCACTGGGGGACATCAGCTCCTCCTGTGGAGGCCTGGCAGGTGTGAACCCTACTCTGAGGGTGCCTGCAGGGGCTTTCCTGCATGAGGAGTGGGTTGGAGCCCAGAAGGTGGGCAGACCCCTGGGTGGTTTTGGGGTAGCAGGGGGTACCCCCTCCTCAAAGGCATACCTTTCCGCAGCCATATCGGAGATTCTGCCACGGGATGGGATGCTCTTGCTTCTCAAAAGCCCTAATAAAAATGTGCCAACTCCAATTGAAACTGTAAGGGCCTTGAAATTACTGGGTGGCCCTGACTTACAATGAGGGCAAGCAAAATTTCTAGATGAATTAAGCTGCTAGTGGTGTTAGGGAGGGTGGAGAATAAGAAAAATCAGAGACCGCTGAGAATATTTTGAGGCTGTGGATGGGGGACCCCACCCCTCCATGGACCACAGCCTTGAATATCAAATGATGGCCAAAAACCGTCCCAGAGAGTATCCTAGGATATCTCTTTGAGCACCCCGAGAACTGTGTGTGGCAGGAGGGCTGGACGAATCCCTGTCATCACAGTATGTGTGTGTGTGTGATTGTGGGTCAGACTTTCTAGAAATCATGCTGGGGAGGCAAGAAAGACAGAGGGCAGGGAAGACAAAACAGGAAGACCCAAGGTGGCCACTGTCTCCCAGCCTGAGGGGACTCTGGTAAGAGCCAGCCTCAGGCAAACAACTGAGACAACTTAGAGGCAGGCAAGGTGGCTTCAAGAAACCCAGGCGTTTAGTGTTCTTCGAGCCTTAGGAACAGAGCAGCAGTGTATGTATGGGGAGGGGTAGATTTTATTCTCCCTCACCTATGCAAGTTATGTAAGAGAAAGAGACCCCTTTCCCCTACCGGCTCTCAAAGTTTCCTTCTAGCCGGGCAGGTGGTGTGCCCAGTTAAGGTACCAGCCAAGGAAGTGGTTTTCACAATGATGAGAAAGTTGGGACACGCACAAACTATTTGGATGGCTTTTCAGTGATGCACAAATAGGAAATGTTAAAAGCAACCGAGAGAGACAGGAGCTACCCTCACTTAGTGCTAAGACCAAGTTTGCTTCCCTTTGCCCCAAAGCAAATCCACCATAGCCTTCCCTCCCACTCCTAGTCCCAGTGGGTTCCAGATACCAGGACATGCCGGACTGCCAACTTGGTTACCACTATTAAAACCAGTTGTATTTCTCAGGTACCTTCAACACGTGGAAGCTCTTTCCTATCATTTCACATCAGGTGTCAAATATTCTCTTTGTCTAAAATAAACCAGACCATGGATGGAACAGGTTTGTAGGGTATCTTCATTTCTGGTGAAAGATAGTACTAACAAGTGTATTCGGACCAGACACTGAAATCCTGCAGAGCAAAATCCTTAGCAGGCTCCCAATAGTCCTGCTCAGCTGTGTTAGAGAGTGACAGCCGGTGGGAGTAGATGGGTGGGGTGTTGAAAAAACCTGGAAGGAAGGAGTGTAGCATTTTCATTCTCTAAGCTGGGAGGAAAACTGCCCCCTAACTGGCTCTCCCTTAACTACATCCAGAAGAGTACAGTGAGGTGTGATCGGGACACTTCCTGAGGTTCTGGGTCTAAGAGGGTCGGACCTAAGTGAGTGGGGCGGCAGGCTGAGAGCCTGCAATTGAAGTGTTCACATGGGCCTTACCTTGGGAAGTTTTCTGGTTGTCTGGCCTCCCTGAAAGGTGCTCTGGTGGCCCAATGCCTAAGGCATTTGACTGCTAACTAGAAGGTTGGTGGTTCAAACCCACCAGCCACTCCACAGAAGGAAGACTGGACAATCTGTTTCTGTAAAGATTTACTGCCTTGGAAACCCAAAGAGGGTCGCTATGAGTCAGAACCAACTCAATGGCAGTGAGTTTGGATTTTGGCTTGGGCCCCCTGAATGGAAATACCTCCTTTGTCATATACTTCATGGACACCTATTTATTGACTCTTGGTTCTTGGCAAAACTTGGAAATGCTATGGAGTGGGACATGTGGGGGTGCTGAGGGAGGAGGAAAATTGTTAGGGGGATCGTATCCCTGCCTCCTGGGATCAAAGCAGCTCAGTATCCTAAATAGCCAAGGAGCAAACTAGCAAGCCCCCAGTCTTCCTTGAGGCAGGAGAGTGACAGGGTCCTGTGTTAAGAGCCTTGTAGTTCTAGCAGGACAAAACATTCTCTCATTTTCCTTGACAAGTGGGACCCTATCAAGTGGGGATCTTGAATTTGGTTTAGGCTTTGCCCAAAATGACATGCTCATTTGCGAATGAGGAGACCACTGTTGTTGGTTCTTATGGGGCCTCTTGGATGGCTGGGCTGGGCAGCCTTCACCTAAATGAAAATTGCCTCTCTCCCTTTCTTCATTTATCCCCTGGGTTTCCATCTTCGCATTTCATCCATCATTTTCACTTCTATCGCATTTATGACTTGATGTTTCAAATTTCTGTTTGGGCATCATTCTTCTTTAATTTGTCTACTTTCAAGACCACCGGTTATCCTGGAGAAGTATTCTTTTCTCCCCTCCCCAAGTCCTGCAGCCCATCCCCCTGCTACAAGGTCTCCTATACTCTTGGGAAGAAGGGCGGGGCACATTCTTGATTTATATCTGGTTTGTCTGCTTTGACCTGTCTCTACTTCCCAGCTTAACTCTTGGTTTCCTTGGAGCACAAGAGTGTAAGCAATTTGAAGGTGAAAAAACAAAAAAAGAAAACCTGTTGCTGTGGAGCCAATTTTGACTCATAGTGACCCTGGGGGACTGAGTAGAACTGCCCCATAGGGTTTCCAAGGCTGTAAATCTTTATGGAAACAGACTGCTACATCTTTCTCCAGCAGAGTGGCTGGTGGGTTCGAACTGCTGCCCACCTTTTGGGTAGCAGCCAAGAGTTTTAACCAGCGTGCCACCAAGGCTCCTGCAATTTGAGTGTAAGTCTGTCTTTTACACTTGCTTGACTTTCCCTCAGCTTTCAATTACTAAGTCAGTGCTCAATAAAGTTTTTGTAGTTGATTGACTGCTTAATTGTTGGTGTGGTCCTATGTGAAGATTTTACAACTCTGCCCGAGTCCTGAAAAAGCACTTATTAACGTTCGAATGTGGTTTTCTCAGTTTTAACCACATGCAGTAACTCTAAGAGCCTGGTAGGAGTCCTGATGGACAGTGTTGTCTATATACGTCCCAATCAGTGGTAATGAAGGAACCCTGGTGGCACAGCAGTTAAGCGCTGGGCTGCTAACTGAAAGGTTAGCCATTTGAACCCATCCAGCCACTCTGTGGGAGAAAGCTGAGGATTTATTCCCATATAAAGATTGTAGCCTAGAAAACCCTACAGGGCAGTTCTATTCTGTCATGTGGGGTCACTATGAGTCGAAAATTGACTCGATGACAACTAACAACAGTGGTAATGGGCCTGCAGATTGTTGGTATATAAATGATACCTTTAAACTATTGAGGAGAAAGTTGCCTATTTTGAACACTATCCCTTCAATCTTGTGTTACATAACTAATAAGCCAAATTGATTCACAGCTAACATTTACTGAGTGTCTACAATGCTGTTGTTGTGTGCCATTGAGTCAATTCTGACTCATTTGTTGTTGTTTTTAGGTGCCATCAAGTTGGCTCCAACTCATAGCGACCCTGTGTAAAATAGAATGAAACACTGCCCCTTAGTGCACCATCCTCACAATCCTTGCTATATCCAAGCCCATCATTGCAGCCACTGAGTTAATCCTTCTTGTTGAAGGTCTTCCCCTTTTTCGCTGACACCCCCCCACACACACACACACTTTACCAAGCATGATATCCTTCTCCAGGGAATGGTCACTTCTGACAACATGACCAAAGTAGGTAAGACTGTAGTCCTTAGTCTTCATCAGTAAGTGCTTCAAATCATCTTCAGTAGGGATCCTATATGATAGACTAGAACTTCCCCCATAGGATTTCCTAGGCTTTAATTTTTACAGGAGCAGATTGCCAGGTCTTCTCCCATGGACTCACTAGGTGTGTTCGAACTGCCTACTTTTTGGTTAGCAGCCCAGTGTTTAACCATTGTGCCACTAAGGCTCCTTGCTTACAATGCACTAAACATTAAATGAGATTATCTGTATAATCTCAGATTATCTGTATAATCTCATTTGATATTTACACCAACCTATGAAATGGGCACTATTATCATCCATCTTCATTTATCACCTTCCATTGTCTTACAAAGAAGGAAATCAAAGCTTGGAGAAAATAAATAACTTGACCAATGCCTCACAATGAGGAGCTGAGCCAAGACTCCAACTGAGATCAGTTAGACACTGAAGAATTGTCTATGGAGGAAGAATTGCTAAACAGAGATAGAAGTGAGCCACAATCCTATCCAAATGTTCAAAATGTCCTTATTAAGTAAGGTAATCAATGTCTCCCAGGACATGAGACTTTCAATGATCAAAATGGGACAATCCCAGGGAAACTGGGATAGTTGTCACCCCATCATTAGGGGACACCACCTTGTCATTCGAATATGCTTCTAATACTGGAAAACATAGCCAAATCCACTGCCATCAAGTTGATACCAACTCGTAGAGACCCCCGTTGGGTTTCCAAGGCTGTAAATCTTTACAGAAGTAGATTGCCTCATCTTCTTCCCATGGAGCAGCTTGGTTAACAATACTTTAACCACAGCGCCATCAGAGCTCCTTGGAAAACATAGCAGGGAAATAGAAAATGCTGGGGAAATAGTTGAATTTCCAATTTAAATGTAGAATTTAAGAAAAACTTCCTAATGCCATGCAAATGTCTGGGTGTATAAGTGGAGCTGAAAAGGGGCAAGGTTGTGGTGGCTCTTGGCCATAGCCAGCTATTCTGAGGAAGTGAGTAGTTGGACCTGTGGGCTCAGGACCATGGACTCGGGGGACATC